GGAGGAGATGGTGAGGAGAAGTGATAGTGGTGAGGGGAGGAGAGGTGATTAGTGAAAGGAGAGGAGATGGTGAGGAGGAGGATAGTAGGGGAGGAGAGGTGATGGTGGTGAGGGAGGAGGTGATGGCATCCCTCTCTCTTCCTACCCACTCTCCAGCTATTTCTGCTCCAGTGTTTACCTCACTTGGGCTCTCCTCTTGATAAACAGCAGCAGAACCCCCTCACTCCACCCTCCCCGCCGCTACCAGTATGTAAGCAGGAGGGAGAGGAGAGAGGGAGAGGTCTGGCCCTAAGGGACACACACACACACACACACACACACACACACACGCCATAAAATAACAACTTAAAGACCAACGCCTTGTAAGCCTCACTTTCTACTCTTCCTATTTCCTGCTACAGTTGTTTTCTCATTGTTTCTCCCTCCTTCCTTTACCCCCCTCCTCCTTTACCCCCTCCCCTTCCTTTACCCCCTTTCTCTTCATGCCTCCCTCCCACTCACCTGCAAAATAAACATCTACGAGGCGATATCTCTTGAGTCCAAACCTGTTATCCTGTCTCTTCTCACCTGTATGTCTATGTCTCTACCTCATTAAATCAAACAAACACCTGCCTGGGTCTCCAATTAGTGAACTGTGATAAGTTATTAATATTGTCTTTATTTACCTGTGTTTCTACATACCTGCCGGGTCATTAACGGACACACCTGTATAGTGTTAGTGTGGGACTCACTAATGCTGTGAGGGAGTAGGGTGTACTGTCGAGGGGGAGAGGTGTACTGTCGTGAGGGGGGGAGGAATACTGTCGGAGAATGGAGGTGTACTGTCGGAGGGGGTAGTGGGTACTGTCGTGAGAGATGGTGTACTCTCGTGAGGGGGAGAGGGTGTACTGTCGGAGAAAGTGGTGTACTGTCGTGAGGGGGAGTGGTGTACTGTCGTGAGGGGAAGTAGGGTGTACTGTCGAGGGGGAGTAGTGGTGTACTGTCGTGAGGGAAAGAAGTGTGTACTGTCGAGAGGGGGGAGTAGTGGTGTACTGTCGAGGGGGAGTAGTGGTACTGTCGAGGGGGGAGTAGGGTGTACTGTCGTGAGGGGGAGTAGGTGTACTGTCGAGGGGGGAGTAGTGGTGTACTGTCGTGAGGGGAAGAGTGGTACTGTCTGAGGGGGAGTAGTGGGTACTGTCGTGAGGGGAAGGGCACTGTCGAGGAAGCAGGGTGACTGTCGAGGAGAGGTACTGTCGAGGGGTAGCACTGTCGAGGGGGAGTAGTGGTGTACTGTCGTGAGGGGAGAGGTGTACTGTCGTGAGGGGAGTAGTGGTGTACTGTCGGAGGGGGGAGATGGTGTACTGTCGAGGGGAGCAGTGGTGTACTGTCGTGAGGGAGTAGTGGTGTACTGTCGAGGGGGGAAGTAGGGTGCACAGGAGGATATAATATCCTAGTCTCTATCTTGCAGGCTGACTCACGCCCCCACATAGACTGACTCACGCCCCCCACATATCCTTCCTCACGCCCCCATATCCTTCCTCACGCCCCCCACATACACTGACTCCACGCCCCCCACATATCCTTCCTCACGCCCCCACATAGATTGACTCATCCCCCCAGCCTGCCAACATTCAACAACACATCAAAATAGATGAAGGGGGTAGGAAGAAAGAGAGGCAGGGGTGGGGAGAGAGAGGGTGAGGTGGAGAGAGAGAGAGAGAGACAGAGGCAAAAAGAAGGCAACACGCGATTAACATAAAGGAAAGAGGAACAAAAAATATTGTAAACAGGAGAATAAGGTAAACAAAATACAACACAGGTGTATTAATGAATGAACAGGTAATGAGATGAAGGTGTGTATATCTCACCTGTTGATTAAACACCCTAGCGTTACCTGGGGGTAGGTTTAGGTTTAAGCATATGTACACTGCTATCATCAATTACGTACTATATACTTATAAATTACAAGACAAACAGCAAGAAAATATTAATAACAGAAAAATGTGGAGGAGGAACAGGAGGGTGAAGAAGAAGAAGAGAGGAGGAAGAGGGTGAAGAAGAAGAGAGAGGAAGAGGAGGAGGGTGAAGAAGAAGAGAGGAGGAAGAGGAGGAGGGTGAAGAAGAAGAAGAAGCATGGAGGGGAAGAGAGGAAGAAGGTGGTAGCGAGGTGAGGTAGTAATCAGACACAGGTGAGATAAACACATTTTACCTGGGGGACCTCCACACCTCACACTAATTACCTCTCACATCACCCCCCCCCATACCTACTCCTTCCCCCAACACAAACACAAGAAGCTATGAATCACCTGAAGATTAACCACCCTAATGCTTTTTGATGGGGTTAGGTAGGGTTAGCACTCCAGACCTCACACACTCTATCACACCCACACACACCTCACACACTCCACAGCACACCACACACTCTATCACACCCACAGCACACCACACACTCCAGGCCACCGTAAAGTACTCCACAAAAGCCTTCATCACACCCAGCCTTTAAACCTCCCGGGTGCGTTACCTGTCAGGACGCCCTACAGGTATATAGATGCTGAGAGAGAGAGAGAGAGAGAGAGAGAGAGAGAATAAGGGTGGTAGTATGAGGTTTTATGACCACTGTTACCTGATACTCACCTGCGGGTCAGCACAATACTGTATAAGGATGAGAGGGACAGCACCTAACCCCTACACCACTATCATCATCACTACCATCATCATCACTATCACCACTACCATCATCACTATCACCACTACCATCATCACTATCACCACTACCATCATCACTATCATCACTACCATCATCACTATCATCACTACCATCATCACTATCATCACTACCATCACCACTATCATCAACATCACTATCACCACTACCATCATAACTATCACCACTACCATCACTACCATCACCACTATCATCACTACCATCACTACCATCATCACTACCATCATCACTACCATCAACAGTCACAACAGTACCAACTACCTTTTACGCATTACCCCACACACACACACACACACAATAGTATCATCAACCGCATTCCTTCAGTATTTGGAGGGAGGGGGAAGCAGCGAAGGAGAGAGGGGAGGGGAAGGAGAGGGGAGGGGGAAGGAGAGAGGGAGGGAGGGTAGGAATCACTAGCTGGGATAACGCGAAAGGAAGCATCGGTTATCAGACACATGGAGCGTTGACTGGGAGGACTGTTTCGGGCTGGCAGTGCTAGTAGGGGGCTGGACTGGGGGCTGGTGGTGCCAGTAGGGGCTGACTGGGGGCTGGTGCTAGTAGGGCTGACTGGGGCTGGTGGTGCTAAAGAGGGGCTGACTGGGCCAGGTGCTAGTAGGGCTGACTGGGAGTTGCAGATAGTAGGGCTGCTGGCAGTACGGGGCCGAGGGAGGTAGAGGACTGACTGGTGGTGGTGCTAGTAGGGGGCTGGTGGTGCTAGTGGTGGTGGTAGGGGGGCTAGATTGGTGGGGGCTGCTGGAGGTAATGACATGTGGCAGGACAGTGTAGGGGACTGACTGGTTGGGCTAGTGGTGATGGTAACTGCTTCAAACCTAAACATCATTCTTCTATGTTTAAATACCTAACGTAACCTAACGTAACCTAACGTAACTTAACCTAACACAGCATAAACAAACACTCCTAACATGACCATAATTACAATAGGTTAAGTGAGCCCGCACATCAATACACTTATAGCCTGACTTATTTAGTGCCTTAACCCCTAGAGTACGATGATTCAACCCCTCGAGTACGATGATTCAACCCCTTGAGTACGATGATTCAACCCCTCGAGTACGATGATTCAACCCCTTAAGTACGATGATTCAACCCCTTGAGTACGATGATTCAACCCCTCGAGTACGATGATTCAACCCCTCGAGTACGATGATTCAACCCCTCGAGTACGATGACTTATTCCCTTAAGCAAAATACCATTATATACATACGACGTACAGTGAGACTATCCTATCCTAACCTATCCTGTACACCTCTCATTAACCTAACTATGGAGGCTATACAGGTAGAAGAGGTGAGGAACTTGGCCAGGTAGAGGTAGTAGGAGGAGTAGTGCCCTGAGGGAATAAAGATGAGGTAAAGCATCGGATGGAGTCGGGCAGGTGTGTGAGGGCAGGTGTGTGAGGGCAGGTGTGTGAGGTCGGCCTGGCTCGTGTCTGGCCAGAATTGTGACAGCTGGGGCGAGGTGGCCAGGAAGCGGCCCTTAAGAAGAAGAAGAGAAGGGGAGAAGGGGAAAGGTAGGAGGCGAAGGAATAAGATGGGGTAAGGAGGAGAGGAAAGGAAGGAGGGGGGAGCAGTACATCCGTTTCTCACCTGCCTTCTCACAAGACGTCTAGCAGCTGCCGCCACACACACACACACACACACACGAGGCATAATAACGTGTTCTAAGTGGCAAAAAGATCATTAGACTTTAAGAAACTTGTAATAATGCTCCACTAAGTATTTACAAACACCTTATACTGATGAACCATTGTGATAGGTGTTGTTCAGGTATTAATGTATCATAATTCTTAGTGTAATTAAGTGGTTAAGCAGACAGTTTCAGTTCAATTCGTCTACGTTTCACTGTTGTATATTATCATACCGTAAAGGCTGACAGGAACGCCTCGAGTGACTGTACCAAACAACAGGTCTTGAGGTTAATGACTGGTCAATGGTTGTGTGTTGTGATGGCCTGGGTTATGATTAATAGATGTTGATATTTATTTACAACTCTGGTGCTGAAACTTGTAGCTGTGGGTAATGAAGGGCAGTGCCGTGTGGACCAGTGTGTGTGGCACCCAGACACTGGCCGCACCACACCTATCGAGTTACCGCTTCATACACACACCAGCAGCACCCCCTCCCGGCCTGTGCTAGTACACACGTTGTCACCACACCGCTCACGTGACCAACCACCACAGACGGTGTGTGGTGCTGCATGAGTGACGCGGGAGATGGTTTATACAGATATATGGTAATTAATTAAATACAGGTTAGCAGGAGGAGCGCAGCTTACCCACTGACAAGTTGTGTAGCGGAGAGAAGGTGAAGGCCTCGGGGTAGCCTGGCGGGCCTGGAGAAAGAGGAGTCCTCGGGGAGTGGGAAGGCTTGGAGGGCGAGGGAGTGGAGGCTGAGGTTATGAGGGGAGGGGGACGGTGGCCCGGGAGGTGAGGCAGGAGGGGCTTGGTGCTGTGAGCGCTGCTGGACGCCAGACTGATGTCTCGGGACGTGTCCCTGCTCAGGTCTCTCGACGATACACTGGGGTCACGGTAGTTCGGGGGCAGCAGGGGGGCGGATCGCCACTGTGGGAGACCCGCTGTCCTGGGAGGCGGAGCACCCAGATGTCCAGATGACGCCCAGTGACTTCGGTAGGCGTAAGATGGGTGGCGCGGCGGGTGGGCGTGGTGCAGGGCAGTCAGTATGTGGTTGACTCGGTTCTGGCGAGTGAGGCTATCTATGGGGGGGTGAAGTGGCGGCGGAGGGGGGCGGTGGTGGAGGTGCTGGGGGTGTGGGTGGTGGAGATGGTAGTGGGCGTGGTGTGGGTGGTGCGGGGTGGCGCGGCCCCCGGGGAGAGACTCGAGGTAGTCGGGGCCGGAGTAGAGACTGTCGTCACGGCGGTACACCACCTCGTAGCGGTAGTGCTGACGGCGCCCGCGTCCCCCACTACACCACCCGCACACTCGCCACGACACCATCACGTCCCGCCCGCCCCATACTCGTGCCGCCCCCCGTCCACCCGCCGCCCACACCCACTAATCCCCTCCACCCACCTACTGCTACTTGCTCCGCCACCAAGACACCACCATACACGCCACACGACCTGGCTGCCACACACACAGTAGTGGGTGACCTGAGCTCTGGGCCAGCACACAAAGACCACTTCTCCCGCCCCTCGCTAGTGGTCAGCTCAGCCTCAGCTCACCTCACATCAGACAACACTCACTGCTACCTTCCTACGAGCAGTTCTTGATCAACACAAGAGGCACTACACAAGAGCCTTAAGCACGCCAAAAGTCCTCACACAGTCCGGCATTACAAAGGACCTACAGTGTTGTTACTCCTCGACCCTACAAATAGAAATGGGGCGTTAAACAGCTTGTGGCGCGGGGGGGTCGGTCACGGCGCCACACTGGGTCACGTTACACACACGTAGTATAACGCAATAATGGCGGCTGATGTGAACTGTTGTTAACCAGAGTGACGTCATGGTTTACAGTGACCACCCACACCACCCATGAGTCAACACTGTCAAACACTACAACACACACAAACACACATATACACTTAAACAAACAAAAACCACACACACCACACTATAATATCCCTGTGTGTGTGTGTGTGTGTGTGTACCTACAGCTGGTTACACGAGGAGGTGGGCGTGTAAAGTGAGTTGGTCCTTGAGCTGAGTAACCCAGATTATATTACTAAAACCAAACCAAATCTGACGTGACGTAACCTAACCAAATCTGACGTAACCTAACCTGACGTAACCAAATCTGACGTAACCTAACCAAACCTGACGTAACCTAACCAAACCAAACCTGACGTAACCTAACCAAACCAAACCTGACGTAACCTAACCTAACCAAACCTGACGTAACCTAACCAAACCAAACCTGACGTAACCTAACCTAACCAAACCTGACGTAACCTAACCTAACCAAACCTGACGTAACCTAACCAAACCTAACCAAACACAGACAATAAACCAATCATTCACCAGAGGACCAGTTCATGAGTGTATTGTGTATAAATAATCAGTGTAGAGGTCAAGTGTGTGTGTGTGTGTGTTGAGGTATACAGAATAGGTATGTATACTTGGGTTAGGTATACAGTCGTGGGGTGTATAGTTAGGTATGGAGGGGAAAGGGTTGTATACCTGTACTTAATTAACATGAATGACAGGTGTGGGTTTAAAGATATGGGTGTGTCAGGTGTGGGTGTATAGGTGTGGGTAGACAGGTAGGGGTGTACAGGTGGGTGTACAGGTATGGGTGTACAGGTGGGTGTACAGGTGTGGGTGTACAGGTGTGGGTGTACAGGTGTGGGTGAACAGGTATGGGCGTGGGGACCAGTAGTGTGTGTGGATCACCGCTGGTAAACTGTTGCTGGTGTGGTAGAGGGAGGAGAGAGGTAGAGGTAGGAGGGAAGGGTAGGAGGGAGGGAGGGAAGGAGGTAGAGGTAGGAAGGGAGGTAGGAGGGAAGGGTAGGAGGGAGGGAGGTAGGGAGGGAGGAAGCAAGGCCAAGGTCCTATATCACCTGATCCCAACCTCAACTATGTACAGTCAAAACACCATGAAACGTGTGTGTGTGTGTGTGTGAAGGGGGTAGTGCTGGTGGAGGTGTGGTAGCATTGGTGGGGAAGAAGAAGGTTTTGGTGGGGGTGTGGTAGTGTTGGAGGGGGTGTGGAGACGTTGCCCCCACCACAGGTGTTGCTGCTCCTGGTCAAGTCACTCCTAAACCACACACACGCGCGTGCACTGTCCTTCCCGTCCCCCAAGTGTGGCCACCTCGCATCTCTCTATAAACACTGTGGTCTCGTCCTCGTGTTGGTAGAGGCGTTCTGCGTACAAGTTGAGTAAGCGGGTGTTTGCCCCTCAGTGTGCACCTCGCAGCGGGCACAGAACAGCGTCACACTACCCTGCCGACACACAAAACTTTTCACCCGTAACCTCCACCACTGGGCACCACACTCTACCACACCTGGGCACTAGTGACACACACCACAACACACCACAACACTGGTCTGAGTCAATATGCCTCCTTACATGCACTAACACAATCGTTCAGTGTCGGGGCTTGGTGAACACTGCCGCCTGCCGCCACACTCACACCGCCCGCGGCCACGGACAACACCCCCCCCCCTCCCACCCGGGCAGACCCCACCTCCCCACAGCTACCCAAACATAACATGAACGCTTGTACTGCAAGTCTACTGACCTCCCACTTAGTTTACCGCTGTACTGATGAAAGGATAAAGCAGAATAAGAGAGGAGACGCGGGAGGAAGGAAGGGTTAAGCTTGGTGTGTGTACGAGTGTATAGCGTAGTCGATGTGCCCAGGCGCGGAGGTATGCGGGGCCGGGGGCGGCGGGCGAGCCTCACCTCCCCCCGCCGCTGCCGGACGCACGACCACACATCTGTCCATCAGTACGACTTACTCTCTACGTCCACGACCCCAACACTACCCACACCACCTCCAATACTCTCCCTACACCTCTACACCCTCCCTCTACAGCCAGTACCCACCCGTAGAAGTCCATCAACACGGCCTGGCCAAATGTGCGGGCCAAGCGGCGTCTGTGCGTACACGGCCAACCATTCTTACCGCTACCTGGCCACCGCAGCGCATACCAAACCCTCCCGCCTCTGGTTCACATACACCACAACACACACACACACCTTTACCTGCCACTAACGACCATAAGGACTTGTGTGGAACTGAGACGAGACCGAGTGACAAGTTAGGCAGTACATGGGGGCATTTTGTTGACCCGGGGAGGCACAGAGCATCGTGGTTTCTGGGCGACAGGTCACGCCAGGCGAGTACGGTGTGCGGCAAGCAACTCTCACCCTTCTCTACCACCACCACCACCACACATCATTCACCACACACACACACATCAACAACGCATAAATAACGGCACAAGATCACCATACACACAAACAAGGGAAGAATCTGATTGGTTATATCTGTGGCAAATCAACAGGTGACATTTCGTGTTAAAGCATCTACTCGGCTCACCTGAAGATTACCCACCCTAACGCTACCTGGGGGTTAGGTAAGCGTTAGGGTGGGTAATCTTCAGGTGAAATAAGCTGGGGTGGAGATTCTTCAGGTCGTGCTAAAAGGATTATATATATTTAGTGAAATGAAACCAATTCACATACAACACTGCCACCCACAACACTACCACCCACAACACTGCCACCCACAACACTGCCACCCACAACACTGCCACCTACCCCACACCCACACAACACAACCACCCACAACACTGCCACCCACAACACTGCCACCTACCCCACACCCACCCAACACAACCACCCACATCAAGGTGTTACCGCTACCTGTCCACTCCTAATTAACCTCACTCACCTACAGTGACCAATAAACGTGATATCATTAAGCAAGATAACAGATTTTCCTTCACGATGTCATCAGCACCAGTTAATTATCACAGGTGGGAGGACTACTGTGTGATGGTGCTCTATGGTGATCGAGTAATTAAAGATATCCAACAGGTAAATACGCTATACTCTATACATAATATAGCCAGGTGATATAATTAATATTTGGGAACACCTGAGGAGTTTTTTCCCATCTCAGTTTAATTCACCTGAAGATTAATCACCCTAATGCTAACCTAAGCTAAAGGTATGACCAGGTATACCACGTGTTCATATTAACAGGTGTGTGTGTGCGTGCGTACGTGCGTTTTCTGGCGTGTCCTATCTGTCCCTGAACGCAAGGAGGTGGAGTGTGGAGAGAGGTGGAGGGCGGGAGAGGGGAGGTGAGAGGCAGGGAGGGCGGGGAGAGGTACGGAAGGGCGGGGAGAGGTACGGGAAGGGACGGGGGAGGAGGTAGGGGGGGAGAGGTACGGAAGGGAGGGAGAGGTACAGGAGAGGGAAGAGGCGAAGGACGGGAGAGGTACGGGAGAGGTAGGGAAGGACGAGGAGAGGTACAGGGGGGGAGAGGTATGGAAGAATGAGGGGGGGTTCAATGGCGGGAAGAACTGGACTCAGTGGAAGAGGTGGCGGCTACTACCAGATCATATGCCGCCTCCTTCACCTCCCCGTCAGTGTAACTTTTAATTCCACCTCCTCCCCCCACCAGCCACCTCTCCTCCACTCTGCCCCCACACACACACACACACACGTTACCTACATCACTAACACAAGTCAACAAGCCACACATTTTTTGTAGCGCGTACAAGTGTGTGTGTGTGTGTGTGTGTGTGTGTGTGTGTGTGTGTGTGTGTGTGTGTGTGTGTGTGTGTGTGTGTGTGTGCTGCCACCTCATACTGGGCACACACATACACACGAGGATTACACCCTCTCTCACACTGAAACCTGACCTCTGCATGAGTTCAGGTCTAGTGTTAGGTGATGTATGGCGGTGTGTGTGTGTGTGTGTGTGTGTGTGTGTGTGTGTGTGTGTGAGACTTGTTTAGTGGTTGGTCATGTTAGCTTGTGTACTGCTGAGAGAGAGAGAGTCTTGAGAGAGAGAGTCTTTCACCTAACCTAACTCTCCAGCCATATCCACCCAGGTTTAGAGATCCGAAGCAGAATAATGAATCACTGGTTACTGCTTCGGGTTCACGAGTCTGAATCTCTAGGGGTTCAGAAGGAGAGGCTACCAGACCACTTAATACCTGGAAGCTGCAACAACGACAACATTCTGACAGGTGTTGTACAGGTATCCCACAGGTGTCGTACAGGTATCCCACAGGTGTTGTACAGGTATCCCACAGGTGTTGTACAGGTATCCCACAGGTGTCGTACAGGTATCCCACAGGTTGTTGTACAGGTATCCCACAGGTGTTGTACAGGTATCCCAAAGGTGTCGTACAGGTATCCCACAGGTGTCGTACAGGTATCCCACAGGTGTTGTACAGGTATCCCACAGGTGCCACACAGGTAAACAACATGATGGACCGTGTGTGTTGTTCAGGTGTGCCATGATTGACGCCCAGGTGATGAATGTCTCA